GTATTGTTGGGAATTCAAATTTAATTTTAAATTTCAGGCCAAATAGCTAAACTAAAAGCATAGCTTAATTGGCCTTAAATTGAGAAATTCACTTTGAATTCACTTTAAATTTCTGACAGTTCTTACTATAGTAATTAACCATTTTTTAACATTGTAGCTAAAAAACATATTGGTATTTAAACTCTTTCTTGCACTCTGTGTATGCACATGGTTGGATTGTCAGGCGAAATAAATAATAAAAAATAAAAATAAAAAAAACATGTATTTGTCTTCTATGCAGCTCCTTAGCTGATCATCACGAGATGGAAATATAATTTTTTTTCGGCATTTTCTCCTATTCGTTCATTTACTTTTTTTTCAGTTTTTCAATCCCAGAATAAGGACATCAACCCGACGAAACTTTGCAGTTTGACAAGTAGGATCAAACAGGACTGAAGACAGGAAAATAAAATCGATTTGAAAAAAGATCAACCTTTATTTGATTGTTAACTCATGGATAAAAAGACTTAAAAAAGAACAAACGCTGCTAAATGTCTAACTTGAAAGTCACTCAAAAAAAAGATACAGGTGACTTGTAAAACCTCCTAAGACTAACTCGGTACACACTAAGACGGTAAGTGTACCTACATACCCAAAGGGAGGGAGAAAAGGAAACACTACGAAATATTGAGCTGGAAGTCACTCAAGATAATAAACTAAAAATAAGGTACAACACCTCCTAAGACTACCTCGCTATACCTTAAGAGCGTGGGTGTACCTATGGACCTCTAGAGTAAACACAAAGAACTAACAAGAAAATATAATTAAACTCTCTAAAAATAAGGAAGCAGTACGTCTCCTTGCAATTGAATTAATGATCTCCCAATGTAATTACTGCTTCTATATAAGCCTACAAGTGGCACCCATTGCAAGTCTGTATAAACGTCTATCTTAAAGGGACACTATAGTCACCAGAACAACTACAGCTTAATGTAGTTGTTCTGGTGAGTATAATCATTCCCTGCATTCATTTTTATGCAAACACTGCCTTTTCAGAGAAAACACAGTGTTTACATTGCCCCCTAGGGACATCTCCAGTGGCCACTGCTCAGATGGACAGTGGAGGTGCTTCCTGGTGCAGTGCTGCACAGTGCTGCACAGTGTGCAGCACTGCCCTTTAGCGTCTCCTCGCTCAGCATGGGGGCAATGGTTTTTCCTCATAGAGATGTATTGATTTAATGCATCTCTATGAAGAGGGGATGATTGCCCCTGTCATGCCTCTATGCTGATTTTAGCCAATCCAATGCTTTGCCATAGCGAAAATCATAAATTCTGATGATGTCAGCAAGGAGGCGGATCAGAGGCCAGGGCCGGCAGACCAGCGCAGCGCTGGAAATAAGTATGTTTTATTACCTTTTAAGGGGCGAGGGGGGGGGGGGCAAGCCACCTAAATGGTGGTTTTAACACTATCGGGTCAGGAATACATGTTTGTGTTCCTGACCCTAAAGTGTTCCTTTAAGTTGGCACACCTAAAGGTAAAAGAATGGACAATGTCCTATGTTGTCTGTCAATGTACATAGCTGGAATTATACATTTATACAAAATTTTATGGAACGGTAGAAGTATGACACAGTTATAGGGGAAATGTAGGCAGATATCCTGAATAATCAATAAACTATATATATATAGATCACTTATTACACAATGATATATATATATACAAAAACATAATTGACAGGAAAGTGAATAAAAAATAAACAAATTAAATGAGGAGTGGATGTTCACAGGATCCTTGAATTAATGCATCTCTATGATGAAAGTTCAGTGTCTCCATTCAGAGGGTGGAGACACTGAATGGCAGTCACAGTGTGCAGCACTGCCCCAGGAAGCACCTCTAACATCCATCTGAGGAGTGGTCAGTGGAGGTATCCCTAGGCCAGTGATGGCGAACCTTTTTGAGCCCGAGTGCCCAAACCGCAATACATGCCAACATTTTTTCTCCTTAAAGTGCCAACACCGCAATTAAACCCAAATACTGAGGTTTAAGTTTAGAAAAAAACAACTCGTACTGTTGTCCGAACTAATAACTTTTGTTTTAAAAGAACACAGAGAGTTCAATGATACAAATTTTAAATAATGATATAAATAGATAAAATTAAGCTTATATTTATTAATATCTCCAACAAATGCAATACATACACACA